TCCTGAGCTTCATGGATCAATGAATGTGTGTAGCAGTACGTTCGGATACATGTTCGGAATAAAGACAAGTGCCAAAAAATACTCAAACACACAAAATATCTTTTATTACAGTGAGAATAATAATACTAGTAATAAACTTAGCAAGAGGAATTAAAAACTAAAAAAAAAGTATACAAAATAACTACCTTATTGGGTGGCATTAAGACAAATACTACGAACAGCATTTAATACAGTATTAACTAGTGAAAAGGGATACCAAAAAAGGATCTTAACACAATATTATGGATGACACGATATTGGTTAGTAAAGAGGGAAACTAAAGGAAAAAATACTATAAACATAAAAGGGGAGTTAAAGCAACATTAAAAGGATATTAAAAAGTTTGTTCTCTCGGTTGCTTCCTATCAATAACCTGTGCTTACCCACACAGACAGGCCAGGGCTGTCAGGATCTGCAGCAGCTGGTCGGTACCCGTGCTTAGCGGGCGTCCCCGCGGAGCAACACAGTCTCGGTGGTAGGATGGGTATCGCTTGACTCAGCAGTCCCGACACCCCATTTTTATCAGTTCCACATTACACTACGTAGGGCCAGTACGTAGTATAAGGTGATGCCTGAATGGCAGCCAAACACCGCCTAATCATGACCTCATGGCAACAGTCTGCGCATGCCCTACTTGTAGGGCAAGGGGCGAGCGACCCCTGCCCACATCATCTTCCTCCCATCATCATCTTTCTCACCCCTATGTATGACCTCTACCATTGTGTTTCAAGGGTAGATGTATCAATCTTGCCATATGTAGCAAAACCCAAGGAAGAACTCAGCTCTGATAATAGGGGATATCAAGCTGACTTGCTAAAAAGCACAATGGACCTTACAATTAGCTTGTGCCATGAAGTTACGTTGTACCATACTCTGACTGTTTTCACATCCTAATATGATTCCGTTCTCACGCCTCTATGCTCCATTGATCATCTAATTCAAAAGTACCCCCCTTACAATGTGTGTAAGGGAGAAGGTTCATGGAGAGGGGATGGGTCCTGTGGGGTGGGAAGTAAGATGGAAGGAGAATGGATGGGAGATCCTGTATTGGATGGGTGGATGGGTAGTGGGGTTCCTGGAATGGGTCAATGGGTGGTTGTGTGGATGGGTGATTGGTGGATGGATGAATGGATGGATGGGATGAACAAAATACCAAGAGGAAGGAAGTATGGATGGAACAATGGAAGAAAGTGTGGGATGGAGCGATGGATGGGTGGTTGGAGAATGGATAGATACTTGGGTGTGTGGATGGATGGGGGTCTCATGGGTTGGAGGGATGAGATGGATGGGTCAATGAATGGATGGGTGGACATGTTTATGGAGGGGTGGACATGTTTATGGATGGGTGCAGGTTGGGATGAGTCTATGGCTGATTTGTGCCCTGGATGAGTGAAGCAGGGGAGTGGGGTTGAAGATAGAAGAACAGACAGGGGGGCTGCGTGTGGCTGGTCAGATGACAGATGAACAAAAGGTCAGACAGGTGGTTGATCTCCATCTCCTGCCTTGTCCCATCTCTGCACAGCACCAGCCTCACTCTCGGAGGCTTCCCCAACTGAGGACTCCCCAGCTGAGGACCATGAACATGAACACGAACAAACTGAGGCCCCACCAGCACGGGCAGTGCTGGGGGAGTTGAGGGTCTCCAGCATCACCCCCAGCTCTGTGGGGCTGCAGTGGAGCGTCCCCGAGGGCCCCTTTGACTCCTTCACACTGCAGTACCGGGATGCCCGGGGCCAGCCCCAGGCCCTGCCCATCGATGGCGGGTCCCGCTCGGCAACGGTGCCGGGGCTGTCTCCGTCCCGCCGGTACCGCTTCCACCTCTACGGGCTGCGGGGCGGGAAGAGGATCGACCACGTCTCCACTGATGTCGTCACAGGTGAGAGGGAAAGTGAGAGGGATGGATTGATCAAGCCATGGAGGGATCATGGGATCCCATCCCATCTCATTCCCACCCACCATCGAGAACCCACTGATCTCAGTACCATCCAATCAACCATTGACCTTTCAACCACCTAATGACCAAAACCTGCCGTCATCCACCATCATCTTCATTATTCCCCGTCACCATAATAATCATCATCCATCAGCATTATTCTCATTCATCATCCATCAACATAATCATCATCATCCATCTTCATCCATCATCCATCTTCCATCCGTAATCATCATCATCATCATCGTCTGTCCATGACGGATCAAGAACTGAATGGCTGAATGGATTCTGGACAGAATGGTGGGTGGGTTCCTGCCCAGATGGATGGAAGAAGCTGAATGGATGGATGCACAGTTGGATGGATGTGGGGAAGCTAGGATGGATGGAGTGTTCCTGGTGGCATTACATGATTTCTTATGTATGGAAGAATTTCCATGGGTAATGGGATGGCAGGGGTGGAGGCCTGGGGGGATGTGAGGAGGAAAATCCAGAGATATGGATGTGGGATTAGGTGGGGAGTTGGGTTGGGTGTTGTGTGGCAGATAGGATGGATGGATGGATGGATGGTTGTTTATGGATGGAGGAAGACATGGTTGAATGGATGATGAATGATGGATAGTTGGGTAATTGATGGATGGACATATTGATGGACACATGGATGGCCACGGCCATCACCATCCCCTCTGTTGCAGCTGCAGCCGAGCCAGAGGAGCCGCTCCTGCCCTCAGAGGAGCCCCAACCTGAGCACCCCCAAACTGAGCCTCCCCCATCTGAGGCCCTACCAGCACGGGCAGTGCTGGGGGAGCTGAGGGTCTCCAGCATCACCCCCAGCTCTGTGGGGCTGCAGTGGAGCGTCCCCGAGGGCCCCTTTGACTCCTTCACGCTGCAGTACCGGGATGCCCAGGGCCAGCCCCAGGCCCTGCCCATCGATGGCGGGTCCCGCTCGGTGAAGGTGCTGGGGCTGTCCCCATCCCACCGGTACCGCTTCCACCTCTACGGGCTGCGGGGCGGGAAGAGGATCGACCACGTCTCCACTGAGGCTGTCACAGGTGAGAGGGAAAGTGAGAGGGATGGATTGATCAAGTGATGGAGGGATCATCCGTCTCATCCCATCCCCATCTCATCCCCACCCATTGTCACGCACCCACTGACCTTGATACTATCCAATCAACCATTGACCTTTCCACCAACCTACTGACGAAGACCTGCCATCATCCACCATCTTCATCATTCCTCATCATCATAATCATCATCAACCATCATCATCATCGTTCACCTTCCATCATCATCCATCCATGATGGATCAAGAACCAACTGGCTGAACTGATTCTGCATTGGATGATGGGCAGGTTCCTGCCCAGATGGACGAAAGAAATTTAATGGATGGATGAGTGGTTGGGTGAATGTGGGGCGCCCGGGATGGATGAAGGGTTCCAGGTGACCGTATGAATGTCCTTATGCATGGAAGATTGTCCATGGAAAATGGGGATAATAGAGATGGAGGTCTGGGGGGAATGCGGGCAAAAATAGCCAGAAATATCGATGTGGGATTAGGTGGGGAGTTGGGTTGCATGCTGGGTGCTAGACTGGATGGATGGATGGAAGGATGGATAGATGGATGGCTGTTTATGGATGGAGGAAGACGTGGCTGAATGGATGATGAATGATAGATAGTTGGGTAAATGATGGATGGACACATTGATGGACACATGGATGGCCACAACCATCACCATCCCCTCTGTCACAACCACAGCTGAGCCAGAGGAGCCACTCCTGCCCTCAGAGGAGCCCCAACCTGAGCACCCCCAAACTGAACCTCCTCCACCTGAGGCCCCCCCGGCACGGGCAGTGCTGGGGGAGCTGAAGGTCTCCAGCATCACCCCCAGCTCCGTGGGGCTGCAGTGGAGCGTCCCCGAGGGCCCCTTTGACTCCTTCACGCTGCAGTACCGGGATGCCCAGGGCCAGCCCCAGGCCCTGCCCATCGATGGCGGGTCCCGCTCGGTGACGGTGCTGGGGCTGTCCCCATCCCGCCGGTACCGCTTCCACCTCTATGGCCTGCGGGGCGGGAAGAGGATCGACCACGTCTCCACTGAGGCTGTCACAGGTGAGGGGGAAGGTCAGAGGATTTAGGGTGAAATGATTGATGGATGGATGGAGGGATGGATGCGTGTAGTGTTTATGAGAGGGATGGAGAGTGGGACGAAGGCTTGGAGAGATGGAAGATGGGTGAAGGATTGGATGGAGAGATGAAGGGGGTGATGGTTGAGGGTGATGATGGGTGAATGATGGTTCGATAAATCTCCAAATGATGGGTGAATGGTGGTAGGATAAAGAGAAGGGGTGGTCAGAAATACAAGAGGAAGGACAGATTGATGGAACAGTAGAAAGAGATTTGGGACGGAGTGATGAATGTATAATGGATGGAAGTGTGGATGCATGGATGGATGGATGGATGGACGGATGGATGACTGGAAGCAGGGATGGATGGGTGGGTGGTCAGGTGACTAATTGGACATTTAATGACTTAATGTGTGTTTGGAGCCTAAGTAGATCCTGGGTTTCATGGATCCATTGGCTGGTGTGAGGGAGAAGGATCATGGAGGGGGGATGTAGGGAGGGAAGTAAGATGGATGGAGAACAGATTGGGGCTCCTGGATTGGATGGGTGGATGGGTGGAATGGGGCTCTCAGGATTGGTCAATGGGTGGCCAGATGGATGGGTGATTGATGGACGGATGGACAGATGGGATGAACAGAATAACAAAAGGCAGAAAGGATGGATGGAACAATGGAAGAAGGAGAGGGATGGAGTGATGTGCACTTGGAGAATGGATAGATGGGTGGGTGGGTGGATGTGGATCTCCAGGGTGAGATGGATGAAATGGATGGGTCAATGGATGGATGGGTGGACATGTTTTTGGATGGGTGCAGGTTGGGATGAGTCTGTGGCTGATTTGTGCCCTGGATGAGTGAGGCAGGGGGGTGAGAGTGGAAGGACAAGACATGGGGGCTGCCTGTGGCTGGACAGATGATGGATGGAAACAAAGGTCAGGCAGGTGGTGAATCTCCACGTCTTGCCTTGTCCCATCTCTGCACAGCACCAGCCTTGCCCTCAGAGGCTCCCCCAAACAAGGACTCCCCAGCTGAGGACCACGAACATGAACACCAACAAACTGAGGACCTCCCAGCACGGGCAGTGCTGGGGGAGCTGAGGGTCTCCAGCGTCACCCCCAGCTCTGTGGGGCTGCAGTGGAGTGTCCCCGAGGGCCCCTTTGACTCCTTCACACTGCAGTACCGGGATGCCCAGGGCCAGCCCCAGGCCCTGCCCATCAATGGTGGGTCCCGCTCGGTGACGGTGTTGGGGCTGTCCCCGTCCCGCCGGTACCGCTTCCACCTCTACGGGCTGCGGGGCGGGAAGAGGATCGACCATGTCTCCACTGAGGCCATCACAGGTGAGGGGAAAGGTCAGAGGGATGGATGAATCAAGTGATGGAGGGATCAAGGGTTCCCATCCCCATCCCATCCCAACCGGGCATTGAGCCACCACTGACCCTGGCACCATCCAGTCAACCATCGACCCTTCCACCCCCTATTGACCAACATCCGCCATCATCCACCATCATCTTCATCATCTGTCATCCATCATCATTATTATCCACCATCCATTATCATCATCATTCATCCATCATCATCAGCTTCCATCATCATCATCATCATCCATCCATGACGGATCAAGAACTGAATGGCTGAATGGACTCCAGACTGGATGGTGGGTGGGTTCCTGCTCAGATGGATGGAAGAAGCTGGATGGGTGGATGAGTAGTTGGATTGAGGTGGGGCAGCTGAGATGGACGGAGGATTCCTGGTGGCCATATTACGATTTCTTATGTGTGGAAGAATTTCCATGGGTAATGGGATGTCAGGGGTGGAGGCCTGGGGGGATGTGAGGAGGAAAATCCAGAGATATGGATGTGGGATTAGGTGGGGAGTTGGGTTGAGTGTTGGGTGGTAGATTGGATGGATGGATGGATGGATGGATGGTTGTTCATGGATGGAGGAAGACATGGCTGAATGGATGATGAATGATGGATAGTTGGGTAATTGATGGATGGACACATTGATGGACACATGGATGGCCACGGCCATCACCATCCCCTCTGTTGCAGCTGCAGCCGAGCCAGAGGAGCCGCTCCTGCCCTCAGAGGAGCCCCAACCTGAGCACCCCCAAACTGAGCCTCCCCCATCTGAGGCCCCCCCAGCACGGGCAGTGCTGGGGGAGCTGAAGGTCTCCAGCATCACCCCCAGCTCCGTGGGGCTGCAGTGGAGCGTCCCCGAGGGCCCCTTTGACTCCTTCACGCTGCAGTACCGGGATGCCCAGGGCCAGCCCCAGGCCCTGCCCATCGATGGCGGGTCCCGCTCGGTGAAGGTGCTGGGGCTGTCCCCATCCCACCGGTACCGCTTCCACCTCTACGGGCTGCGGGGAGGGAAGAGGATCGATCGTGTCTCCACTGATGTCGCCACAAGTGAGGGGCTGCAGGTCCCCCCCCGGGCCTCTCAGGGAGCGGTGCTGGAGTGGGGCCCAGGGGTAGCCTGGAGGACCTGTGGGGCTGGGCTGTACTGGAGGGAACCAGAGAACTGGGGGCAACTGGGAGGATCCAGGGCACTGGGGAGGACTGGCAACTGGGTGATGTAGGGGCAACCGGGGCAACCGGGGGCAACCGGGGACTGGAGAATACTGGAGATTGAGGGGAGCACAGCACTTGGAGGGACTGGGGGCAATTGGGGATTGGGGCAAACTGGGGACCGCTGGAAGGAATTTGGGGAATCTGGGCACCGGGGGGATTGGGGGAAACTGGGGACAGCTGTAAGGAACTGGGGGTTCTGGGCCCTGGGGGGCTGGCGGGAACTGGGTAGAACTGGGGCCTGGGGGAAACTGATGGGAACTGGGGGACTTGGGGGAACTGGGGATTCATGGAGAATGGGAGAGGAACTGGTGCCTGGGAAAGACTGGGAGCTGTGGAGAACTGGTGTGAACTGAGGAGTGGGGGAACTGGTGGGAACTGGGGACTAGGGGGAACTGGGAAAACTGGGTACTGGGGGGAGCTGGGGCAAACAGGCTGGGGAAATTGGGGACTAAAGTGGAGCTGGAGACTGGGGAGACTGGAGGAAACTGGGCACTGAGGAGAATTGGGGGGCTGGGAGAAACTGGGGGGATCTGGGGGCTGGGGGGAACCAGAGGGCTGGGGGGCACTGGGAGAACTGGAGTACTGGGGGGACCTGGAGCAAAAAGGAGACCTGGGGGGACTGAGGGGAACTGGGGGGAACCAGGGACTGGGGGGGACTGGAGATTAAGGGGAATGCAGCACTGGGAGAGACTGGGAGAAGATGTGGAGACTTGGGACAACTGAGGGGTGTGGGAAACTAGGGGGAAGAGGGGACTTGAGGGAACTGGGGGAACTGGGGTCTGAGGGAAACAGGGGCACTGGGGCCTCTCTACTGGAGTGCAGTGTGTGGGTGGGGCCCTGGGGCCATGAAGGTTTTGGGGTGTCAGCAGTTCCCCCCCCACAGGTGCCCCGGGGACCCTCTGGGTGGGCTCCGTGTGGCCCCGCAGTGCCCAACTGCACTGGGACCCCCCCCTCATCCCCCCCGATGGCTACGAGCTGGTGTATGGCCCCCCCGGGGGGCCCCAGCAGGTAATGGACCCCCCCAAGCACCCCAACCCCCCTCAGGGACCTCCCAGGGGGACCCCACCAGGTAAGAGGCTCCCCCACCCCAAAATCCCCAGGAGACCCCTCAGGTCTCCCAAAAATCCCCAGGAACCCCCCGGGGGGCCCCAGCAGGTACTGGTCCCCCTGACCCCCAAAACCCCTGTGGGACACTGCTGTGGCCCCCTGAATAACCCCTTGGGGGACCCCAACATGACCTCAGGAGACCCCAGTATCCCCTTGGAGGACCCCAATAACCCCATGGGGACCCCAATGCCTCCCTGAGGGACCCCAAAACCCCTCATGGAACATCAATACCCCCCTGAGGACCCAAATAATGCCTACAGGATCCCAGTAACACTCCTGGTGATCTCCCCCTGGGGACCCCAGTAACACCTCAGGAGTTCCCTTTTAGCCCCCTTTGGGCACCTCAGTATCCTGGGGAACCCCATTACACCCCTCGGGGGACACCAATAACCCTTTGGGCACCTTAGTAACCCCCCTGCGGGCCTCCAATACACCCCTGGAACCCCAATCCCCCTCTGTGGCCCCCAGACCCTGCAGTTGCCTCCTGAGGCCACGTCACAGCAGCTGTGGGGGCTTGAGCCGGCGGGACATTATGGGGTGCAGCTGTGGGGCCGGGGAGGGGACCCTCAAACCGCTCCCCTCGAGGCCACCTTTGACACCCGTGAGTTGAGTGGGGGCATGGGGGGATGGGGAGGCTCCCTGGGGGGGCACCTGGACCCCTGGGTCCTTTTGGGGGCTCTGGGTCTTTGCGGGGTCAAATGGATGCCCGGGGTGGGGGGTTCATTGAAGGGGTAGCTGGGTACTTTATTGGGGGGAGTTGTGTCCCTTGGGAGGGGGGAGTGGATCTCTGGGGAGGGCACCTGGACAACTGGGTCCCTGGTGGGGAGGTGTTTATTGGGCAGGGAGGGTCTGGGTCCTTCTGGGGAGGGGGCACCCGCACCCCAGTGTCCCCAGAAGCCTCTGTGGTGCCTGAGGGACCCCTCCGTACCCCCCAGCCCCTCTCCCGCACCCCCACCCCCGGGACTGTGCCGAGGAGCAGCGGAACGGGCCGGGCCCCTCGCGGGAGACCCTCGTGTTCCTCGGAGGGGACCCGGCCCGGCCCCTCAGGGTCTTCTGTGACATGGAGACGGACGGCGGCGGCTGGCTGGTGGGACTGGGGGCACCGGGAGGGACTGGGAGACTTCTACAGGGGGCTGGGGGGGGATGTAGGGATTCTGTGGGAGCAATGAGGGTCTTGGGGGGCAATGGGGGCGTTTGGGGGTGACAGAGGAGCACAGGGGCACTGGAAAGGGGCTGGGGGTCTTCCATAGGGCGCTTCACGGATGTTTATGGGAGGAAATCAGAGTCCTCGGGGACAACAGAGAGTTCTGAAGCAGGATTAGGGGGGCTTGGAGGGCAGTGGGAGGGGACTGAGAGGTTTTGGTGAGGAACTGGGGGACACAGGAAGAGAGACTGGGGGGCACTGGGAGGGGCTGGGAAGCTCCTCCAGGGGTTTCTGGGGAGTATTACAAGAGGCCATAGTGCCACTGGGGGGGTCTGGGGTGGAACTGGGGGCCCCTGGGTGGATTTTGGGGTGCCCCTGACCACCCCCCCCCAGGTGTTCCAGCGCCGCCAGGACGGGGGCACCGATTTCTGGCGGGGGTGGGAGTCGTACGCCCGCGGCTTCGGCAACATCAGCGGCGAGTTCTGGCTCGGTGAGGGGGGGCAGGGGTCTGGGGGGTCCTGGGAGGGTTTGGTGAGGCCTGGGAGGGTTTGAGGGTCCCCCGGGGTTTGGAGGGTCCGGGGGGCTTTGAGGGGACCCGGAAATTCCAGGGGACACGGAAGAAAGCAACCCACAGGGGCACCCCGGGATGTGGGGGGAAGACTTTGAGGAGACCCAGCACCTGAGGGGGCACAGGGGGAACTCGGGTGGGCTCCAGCAGCTGTGGGGTGTCCAGGGAGGACTCGGGGGATCTAAGGGTGGTCCGGGTGGTCCCCAGGAGTTGAGGGGGTGTCTTGGATGGTCTTCGGGGCACGGAGAATGAGGTGCTGACTTGGGAATGGAGGGGGGGATCTGGGGGAGGCATTCGGGGGGTCCCCAGGGGTTCGGGGGGTGCCGGACGGTTTGGGGGCGCAGGGAACGAAGCGCTGCACGCGCTGACGGCCGGGACCCCCACGGAGCTGCGCGTGGACCTGCGGACCCCTCGCGACTCCGCCTTCGCGCACTATCGCGACTTCGCCGTCGGCGGCGCCGAGGAGCGATATCGGCTCCGAGTCGGGACCTTCAGCGGCACCGCCGGTGCGGGGCGGGGGGGGCTGTGGGTTTGGGGGATCCCTGCTGGGCTTTCGGGGGGTCCCTGCTGGGGTTTTGGGGGGTCCCTGCTGGGCTTTGGTGGGTCTCTGGGATGTTTTGGTGTTCCTGGATGTTTTGGGGGTCCCTGGTGGAATTTTTGTGTCCCTGATGGGATTTGGGGTTCCTCGGGGTCCCTGATGGGTTTTGGGGGTCCCTGGTGGATTTTTGCTGGGGCTTTTAGGGGTGCCTGGTGGGTTTTGATCCCTGACAAGTTTTGGTGTTCCAAGGGGTCCCTGGGAGGGGTTCTCTGTGGGGTTTTGGGATCCCTGGGGGTGCTGACACCCCCTCCTGCAGGGGACGCCCTCTCCTACCACTCGGGCAGCCCCTTCTCGACACGGGACCGGGACCCCCGGGACCCTCGGGGCCCCCGAGAGCCCCCGGGGCACCCCCGGCCTCCCCACTGTGCTGTGGCCTATGGAGGGGCCTGGTGGTACCGGAACTGCCACTATGCCAACCTGAACGGGCGCTACGGGGCCACCCGGGACCACCAGGTACAGGGGGCTGGGGCGTACGGGGAGATTTGGGGGCATGGGGGGGGGATCCCTGGGGGTCTATAGGGGTCTGTGGGCATTCTGTGGGAGTCTGTGAGGGTCTAGACGGTCAAGGCCTACAGGGGTCTGTGGGAGTCTGTAGGCATCTCTGGGGGTCTCTAGGGTCTGTGGGGTCTATGGCAACCCGTGGTGGTCTATAGGGATCTATCTATAAGGGTTTGTGGGGGTCTATAGGAGTCTACAGGGTTTATGGGGGTTTATAAGTCTCTATTGGGTACTACAGGGCCTGTGGGGATCTAGAGGTGTCTATAGGGTCTGTGGGGATTCTATAGGGTCTAGGGGGTTCTAAAGGGATCCACAGGGTCTATCTATGGAACCTGTAGGGGTCAATATGGTCTGTGGGGTTCTGTGGGGGTCTCTGGAGGTCCTGACCCCCCCTCCCCACAGGGCATCCACTGGTTCCCCTGGAAAGGCTTCAACGTCTCCATCCCCTTCACTGAGATGAAGCTGTGGCCGCAACGTGACTGAGGGGGCTGGGGCAGCCCCCTGTGTGCGGGGGGAGTTTAGGGGGGCAAGGGGGCCTCCCTGGGTGCTGGGGGGCCCCAGGTGGGACTTGGGGAGAGGGTGGGGGGGTCGATGGTGAAACTTTCATTGAGGGTTAATAAAAGCTGACGGTGACCCCCCTGTCCCACGGTGATCCCGGCATCCGGGGGGAGCAAGGGTCAGGCTGGGAGTGGGGGCAGGGGGCACCCAGGGGTTCAAGTCTGGTCTCTCTGTCCATTGAAATGCTGGACTCAACCCCCCCACTGGCCTGGAGATGCTGAGATGTCCCAACCTGGGCAACACAAACACTTGTCATCAGCAGTGGGCAGAGGTGGGGTAGGGTGGGATGGGATGATCCATCCCCTGAAGCCAAAAATAGAGGTTGTGGAGTTGGGTAAAACAACTCCTTGGAACTGGAATGCCCTGGGCATCCTCCCAGGACTCAGAGATGGAGTCAGGTCACAGTTGTGTCACAGTCATGGTCATTGTCATCTCCTGGTCACAATCGGGTCATGGTCATCTCGTTGTTTGTGGTGCTGCTCAGGGAGAGGAGTGGCAGTCCTTCCCCTGCTCCAACATGGGCCCCTCCTGGGAGGGAGGGAGACAGTTCTTCTCCAACAGGAGTCCATCCCATAGGCAACAGTTCTCCACAAACTACTCCAACGTGGGCCCCTTTCCACACGGTGCTGTGGGACCTCCTTGTCACCTCTGACAGGGAAGGGCTTTGCCAGCTTCCAAATTACAGGGCCTTCCAGACCTTTCCAGGGTAGGAAGAGGGAAGGCTGCCTCCTTTGGATTACTGAATATCCATCACATGGGTTTGGTTTCCCCCCCTGAGCTCCCCCAGCTGCTCAGGTCTCTCTGCCTGTTTGTTCCCTGAGTGTAGGGAAGGGGCAGGTGGGAAACATGGATGGTGGCTCAAGGGGTTGATGACCAGCACCGCCCGTGTGACACGGGACACCCATCACTGAGGGGCTGGGGACCAGCACCCACCATGTAACACAGGACCTGCACCATGGGCAGAGGGAGGGGCAGCACCCTCCCCTTGGATAAAGCCCCATAATATCCCTGTGACCCCCGCCCTGCTGCACCACCTCCTCCCAGGAGCAACCTGGGGCTCGGGGGCTTTTCCCCGTCCGAGCCTGGATGATGAGCAGTGTGTCTCCCAGGATGCAGAGTGGTAGGAATGGAACAAATCACAGGCTGTGATAACAACAAAAGAATGTTCAGATCCTCTTTATAAATATGAAACCAACTGCCAAACCTGCATTTTACAGACACAAAAAGACCCAATCTAACAAGTGCCCCTGGCCTGTTTTCTTTCTCACCCCACGGATCAGTCTCTCGGGAGCTGACAGGTGCCCAGGAAGCGCCAGGGAGCTGCACACATGCACCCACACCTTTCCAGGCGGCTGGAGACCCGTCTGGAGATCCAAACGCCCTGGAAGAGGGACCTTGCCGGCAGCTGGGTCACCCCAAACCTCACCTGTCGTGCCCCACCGGAAGCTGCAGTGCTGCAGACTCTCCAAAATGCTGGTGCACAGCTCTGGGCCAGCCAAAATGGCACAGCCCTGGGCTGTCCCAAAGACCTGGGTGGGACAGAAAACATTCTGGTTTTAGGGCAAAGCTGATGGGAGGTGCCAGTTCCCTCCTGCCCACTCCCACCCAGAGCTGCACCAGCCCGGCTGCACACGTGGCACTGCAGCGCACGTGGCACTCAGGGACACCCCGAGTCAACGTTCCCCCCTGGATATGGCCACAAAGCCCCAAACAATGGAATTCAGGCCAGGGGAGAGCCCCCCCACGCACAACAGCCAGGACTGAGCCCAGAACTGCTCCTGCCCAACGTGGGAACCGAGCAAAACACAACCTGTGCCCCCCTCCCCCTCTCGCTGCGTCACAGTTTGAGACGATGGGAACTTGATCCCACAGTTTGGAAAAGCTCCGCACTAACCTCCCAAGGGACCTGGAGCTTGCCGGGCCTCAGAGTAATTCTAGAGCTAAAGCGGTGAGAGACATCAGCTCAGCTCAGCTAATACATGCCAGCACTCATCCCCGGCCCAGGCGGTGCCTCCTCCGGCCCGGCCCAGCCCAGCCCACACACCCTGTCCCCAAAGCAGGACGCTCCCGCCTTCAGCCGGGACCCCGGAGCACAGCCCGGGGCTGGAGCCATCGCCGCTGCGGGCAAGAGAAACCCGCCCGCAGCTGCTTCCCGGAGCCGGCAGGGCTGTTCCCGCAGGAGCCGCTCGGCTGGGCCGGCATCGGGCTCAGGATCCTCCCGCGGCCGCCTCGCCCGGCCCGGACGCTCCGTCCTGGGCCCGCCGGGCTCGGGGCAGCGGCTCCGGCCCCGCGGCCTTGGGGCGGCACCTTCGACACCCCCAGCCCGTGGGGCAGCTCCAGGGCGGGGGGGTTTCGTGCCCGCGGCATCCGCCGCCTGCGGGGAACGAGCCGCCCAGCAGCCCCCCCCGGGACCCCCAAACCCGCCGGCACCTCTGCACCCCCGCCCCGTCCCGCACCACGCGGCCGCTCCTACCCTCGGTTCCGCTGGAAGTGACGCCCGAGCGCGGGCGGGGCAGGAGGAGCTGCCGGCGGGATCCTCCCCCGTCTGGCTGCGTGCTCATCCACCGCTCTGCAATCCGTCCAGTCCCCATCCCATCCTCCCCCGTCCGCCTCCATCCCCATCCAGTCCGCCCAACCCCCATCCCATCCTCCCCCGTCCGCATCCATCCCCATCTAGTCCGCCCAACCCCCATCCCATCCTCCCCCGTCCGCATCCATCCCCATCCACACGCCTCCATTTTCCTTCATCCGCCTTAATCCCCATCCGTCCCAAATCCCATCCACCTCCATCCCCATCTGCCCGCCACCATCCGCCTCCTTCCACCTCCATCCGTATCCATCCCCATCTCATCCACCTCCATCCGCATCCATCCGCATCCTATCCGCCCAATCCCCATCCCACCCACCTCCATCCACCTCCATCCCCATCCCATCTACCTCCATCCCCAATCCCATCTGCCTCCATCCCCATCCCACCCACCTCCATCCACCTCCATCCCCATCCCATCTACCTCCATCCCCAATCCCATCTGCCTCCATCCCCATCCCACCCACCTCCATCCATCTCCATCCCCAATCCCATCTGCCTCCATCCCCATCCCATCTGCCTCCATCCCCATCCCATCCACCTCCATCCCCATCTGCCCGCCACCATCCGCCTCCTTCCACCTCCATCCGTATCCATCCCCATCTCATCCACCTCCATCCGCATCCATCCGCATCCTATCCGCCCAATCCCCATCCCACCCACCTCCATCCACCTCCATCCCCATCCCATCTACCTCCATCCCCAATCCCATCTGCCTCCCCTCCCATCCCTCATCCCACCCACCTCCATCCACCTCCATCCCCATCCCATCTACCTCCATCCCCAATCCCATCTGCCTCCATCCCCATCCCACCCACCTCCATCCATCTCCATCCCCAATCCCATCTGCCTCCATCCCCATCCCATCTGCCTCCATCCCCATCCCACCCACCTCCATCTGCCTCCATCCCCAGCCCACCCATCCCCTGTCCACTCCCACCTGCCAGCCCCACCCGGGGCCCATCCCACGCTGGGACCCGCACACTGCACCGGATCCCACCGGAGCGTGCAAGGAGTGTGGGAACAGCCGCCCCTGTCCCACCCGCACGACAGCTTTTATTGGGATGCAGCAGTGACTCCCAAACAGCCCTTTTCCAGGGAAACCCGCTGTGCTGGGCAGGCCCCATCTCCAGCCTGTGTTGGGGTCACCCCAGCTCAGCCCACGCTGCGATGCCCAAACCGAGCCCCTTTCCTGCAGGCTTTTCCCATGGGATCAGTTAATCCACGTTCCCATTGCCCCATCCCGCTCCTTTGGCCCCCGGACACGCGGCCCCTGTCAGGCACCATCATTGCCGCTTGCCTGTAACAAGGAAATCCAGCTCAAGGCACAAGAAACGGATTCACTTTTGTTTTCCTCTCAAATTGGCTGATGAAAGGCCCCAAACCCACAGTGCTTCCTATGGATCTGGGGAACTGGGGCCCTGCGTTCCCTGTGCCAGAGCCAGCTGGGCCCTTCCTCAGGAGGCAAAGCCAGTTTTTTAGGTTCCCTGAGACTGATCCATTTGCTCAAGCTCCAGGAGTAAACACTGGGAGCCGAGCAGTGCCGTTACACACATGGAAACCCCCCAAATCCGACCCCTGGGATGTGTTGGATTTTTTGCCTTCACGGGAACAAATCAACAAGAAGTCAGAAATAAATAAAAAAATCCAAATTTTGTTCACTTTTTGATCACGAAGGTTTGCCAGGGAAGGTTTTTTCTTCCTCTGCTGCCAAAAGGAGAGTGGGCAAGGGAGACACCGATCCTTGTGGGATTCAGGGATGTTTGAGACGGTCAGCTGGGGGGATGGGTGAAGGGACGGATGGGGTCCTAGAGCCTGTGCTGGATCAGGCACAAGAAGAGGAGTTTGGAGGAAAAGGGATTTTCCCAGATGTTTCTAACGGAGAAATGCAGCAAAATCTCCTTCCCTGGAAGGCAGGACCCGGAGCCGCCACGTCCCTCAGGCCCTGTACCTGCCCAGGTGCTCGCGGGCGATGATCACCCGCTGGATCTGCGCCGTGCCCTCGTAGATCTGCAGGGAGAGCCATGGCTGGGGGAGCCGAGTGCTGGGAAGGGGGCTCAACCAGAGCTCTGCCCACCCGGGACCCTCCCAGCGCCGAGCCCGGGGGCAGGGAGAGAGAAAAGGAGGAAAAATGAGTGTGACCATGACCCACAACAGGCAATAACCGCGTACAGGTAGTGTGTGCCCAGTGCAGGAGGGATCCAGGGATCCCAGGTACACAAACACCTGTGTGTGCAGCGCAGGAGGGATCCAGGGATCCCAGGTACATCAGTACCCCCCTGAGGACCCAAATAATGCCTACAGGATCCCAGTAACACTCCTGGTGATCTCCCCCTGGGGACCCCAGTAACACCTCAGGAGTTCCCTTTTAGCCCCCTTTGGGCACCTCAGTATCCTGGGGAACCCCATTACACCCCTCGGGGGACACCAATAACCCTTTGGGCACCTTAGTAACCCCCCTGCGGGCCTCCAATACACCCCTGGAACCCCAATCCCCCTCTGTGGCCCCCAGACCCTGCAGTTGCCTCCTGAGGCCACGTCGCAGCAGCTGTGGGGGCTTGAGCCGGCGGGACATTATGGGGTGCAGCTGTGGGGCCGGGGAGGGGACCCTCAAACCGCTCCCCTCGAGGCCACCTTTGACACCCGTGAGTTGAGTGGGGGCATGGGGGGATGGGGAGGCTCCCTGGGGGGGCACCTGGACCCCTGGGTCCTTTTGGGGGCTCTGGGTCTTTGCGGGGTCAAATGGATGCCCGGGGTGGGGGGTTCATTGAAGGGGTAGCTGGGTACTTTATTGGGGGGAGTTGTGTCCCTTGGGAGGGGGGAGTGGATCTCTGGGGAGGGCACCTGGACAACTGGGTCCCTGGTGGGGAGGTGTTTATTGGGCAGGGAGGGTCTGGGTCCTACTGGGGAGGGGGCACCCGCACCCCAGTGTCCCCAGAAGCCTCTGTGGTGCCTGAGGGACCCCTCCGTACCCCCCAGCCCCTCTCCCGCACCCCCACCCCCGGGACTGTGCCGAGGAGCAGCGGAACGGGCCGGGCCCCTCGCGGGAGACCCTCGTGTTCCTCGGAGGGGACCCGGCCCGGCCCCTCAGGGTCTTCTGTGACATGGAGACGGACGGCGGCGGCTGGCTGGTGGGACTGGGGGCACCGGGAGGGACTGGGAGACTTCTACAGGGGGCTGGGGGGGGATGTAGGGATTCTGTGGGAGCAATGAGGGTCTTGGGGGGCAATGGGGGCGTTTGGGGGTGACAGAGGAGCACAGGGGCACTGGAAAGGGGCTGGGGGTCTTCCATAGGGCGCTTCACGGATGTTTATGGGAGGAAATCAGAGTCCTCGGGGACAACAGAGAGTTCTGAAGCAGGATTAGGGGGGCTTGGAGGGCAGTGGGAGGGGACTGAGAGGTTTTGGTGAGGAACTGGGGGACACAGGAAGAGAGACTGGGGGGCACTGGGAGGGGCTGGGAAGCTTCTCCAGGGGTTTCTGGGGAGTATTACAAGAGGCCATAGTGCCACTGGGGGGGTCTGGGGTGGAACTGGGGGCCCCTGGGTGGATTTTGGGGTGCCCCTGACCACCCCCCCCCAGGTGTTCCAGCGCCGCCAGGACGGGGGCACCGATTTCTGGCGGGGGTGGGAGTCGTACGCCCGCGGCTTCGGCAACATCAGCGGCGAGTTCTGGCTCGGTGAGGGGGGGCAGGGGTCTGGGGGGTCCTGGGAGGGTTTGGTGAGGCCTGGGAGGGTTTGAGGGTCCCCCGGGGTTTGGAGGGTCCGGGGGGCTTTGAGGGGACCCGGAAATTCCAGGGGACACGGAAGAAAGCAACCCACAGGGGCACCCCGGGATGTGGGGGGAAGACTTTGAGGAGACCCAGCACCTGAGGGGGCACAGGGGGAACTCGGGTGGGCTCCAGCAGCTGTGGGGTGTCCAGGGAGGACTCGGGGGATCTAAGGGTGGTCCGGGTGGTCCCCAGGAGTTGAGGGGGTGTCTTGGATGGTCTTCGGGGCACGGAGAATGAGGTGCTGACTTGGGAATGGAGGGGGGGATCTGGGGGAGGCATTCGGGGGGTCCCCAGGGGTTCGGGGGGTGCCGGACGGTTTGGGGGCGCAGGGAACGAAGCGCTGCACGCGCTGACGGCCGGGACCCCCACGGAGCTGCGCGTGGACCTGCGGACCCCTCGCGACTCCGCCTTCGCGCACTATCGCGACTTCGCCGTCGGCGGCGCCGAGGAGCGATATCGGCTCCGAGTCGGGACCTTCAGCGGCACCGCCGGTGCGGGGCGGGGGGGGCTGTGGGTTTGGGGGATCCCTGCTGGGCTTTCGGGGGGTCCCTGCTGGGGTTTTGGGGGGTCCCTGCTGGGCTTTGGTGGGTCTCTGGGATGTTTTGGTGTTCCTGGATGTTTTGGGGGTCCCTGGTGGAATTTTTGTGTCCCTGATGGGATTTGGGGTTCCTCGGGGTCCCTGATGGGTTTTGGGGGTCCCTGGTGGATTTTTGCTGGGGCTTTTAGGGGTGCCTGGTGGGTTTTGATCCCTGACAAGTTTTGGTGTTCCAAGGGGTCCCTGGGAGGGGTTCTCTGTGGGGTTTTGGGATCCCTGGGGGTGCTGACACCCCCTCCTGCAGGGGACGCCCTCTCCTACCACTCGGGCAGCCCCTTCTCGACACGGGACCGGGACCCCCGGGACCCTCGGGGCCCCCGAGAGCCCCCGGGGCACCCCCGGCCTCCCCACTGTGCTGTGGCCTATGGAGGGGCCTGGTGGTACCGGAACTGCCACTATGCCAACCTGAACGGGCGCTACGGGGCCACCCGGGACCACCAGGTACAGGGGGCTGGGGCGTACGGGGAGATTTGGGGGCATGGGGGGGGATCCCTGGGGGTCTATAGGGGTCTGTGGGCATTCTGTGGGAGTCTGTGAGGGTCTAGACGGTCAAGGCCTACAGGGGTCTGTGGGAGTCTGTAGGCATCTCTGGGGGTCTCTAGGGTCTGTGGGGTCTATGGCAACCCGTGGTGGTCTATAGGGATCTATCTATAAGGGTTTGTGGGGGTCTATAGGAGTCTACAGGGTTTATGGGGGTTTATAAGTCTCTATTGGGTACTACAGGGCCTGTGGGGATCTAGAGGTGTCTATAGGGTCTGTGGGGATTCTATAGGGTCTAGGGGGTTCTAAAGGGATCCACAGGGTCTATCTATGGAACCTGTAGGGGTCAATATGGTCTGTGGGGTTCTGTGGGGGTCTCTGGAGGTCCTGACCCCCCCTCCCCACAGGGCATCCACTGGTTCCCCTGGAAAGGCTTCAACGTCTCCATCCCCTTCACTGAGATGAAGCTCCGGCCGCAACGTGACTGAGGGGGCTGGGGCAGCCCCCTGTGTGCGGGGGGAGTTTAGGGGGGCAAGGGGGCCTCCCTGGGTGCTGGGGGGCCCCAGGTGGGACTTGGGGAGAGGGTGGGGGGGTCGATGGTGAAACTTTCATTGAGGGTTAATAAAAGCTGACGGTGACCCCCCTGTCCCACGGTGATCCCGGCATCCGGGGGGAGCAAGGGTCAGGCTGGGAGTGGGGGCAGGGGGCACCCAGGGGTTCAAGTCTGGTCTCTCTGTCCATTGAAATGCTGGACTCAACCCCCCCACTGGCCCTGGAGATGCTGAGATGTCCCAACCTGGGCAACACAAACACTTGTCATCAGCAGTGGGCAGAGGTGGGGTAGGGTGGGATGGGATGATCCATCCCCTGAAGCCAAAAATAGAGGTTGTGGAGTTGGGTAAAACAACTCCTTGGAACTGGAATGCCCTGGGCATCCTCCCAGGACTCAGAGATGGAGTCAGGTCACAGTTGTGTCACAGTCATGGTCATTGTCATCTCCTGGTCACAATCGGGTCATGGTCATCTCGTTGTTTGTGGTGCTGCTCAGGGAGAGGAGTGGCAGTCCTTCCCCTGCTCCAACATGGGCCCCTCCTGGGAGGGAGGGAGACAGTTCTTCTCCAACAGGAGTCCATCCCATAGGCAACAGTTCTCCACAAACTACTCCAACGTGGGCCCCTTTCCACACGGTGCTGTGGGACCTCCTTGTCACCTCTGACAGGGAAGGGCTTTGCCAGCTTCCAAATTACAGGGCTTTCCAGACCTTTCCAGGGTAGGAAGAGGGAAGGCTGCCTCCTTTGGATTACTGAATATCCATCACATGGGTTTGGTTTCCCCCCCTGAGCTCCCCCAGCTGCTCAGGTCTCTCTGCCTGTTTGTTCCCTGAGTGTAGGGAAGGGGCAGGTGGGAAACATGGATGGTGGCTCAAGGGGTTGATGACCAGCACCGCCCGTGTGACACGGGACACCCATCACTGAGGGGCTGGGGACCAGCACCCACCATGTAACACAGGACCTGCACCATGGGCAGAGGGAGGGGCAGCACCCTCCCCTTGGATAAAGCCCCATAATATCCCTGTGACCCCCGCCCTGCTGCACCACCTCCTCCCAGGAGCAACCTGGGGCTCGGGGGCTTTTCCCCGTCCGAGCCTGGATGATGAGCAGTGTGTCTCCCAGGATGCAGAGTGGTAGGAATGGAACAAATCACAGGCTGTGATAACAACAAAAGAATGTTCAGATCCTCTTTATAAATATGAAACCAACTGCCAAACCTGCATTTTACAGACACAAAAAGACCCAATCTAACAAGTGCCCCTGGCCTGTTTTCTTTCTCACCCCACGGATCAGTCTCTCGGGAGCTGACAGGTGCCCAGGAAGCGCCAGGGAGCTGCACACATGCACCCACACCTTTCCAGGCGGCTGGAGACCCGTCTGGAGATCCAAACGCCCTGGAAGAGGGACCTTGCCGGCAGCTGGGTCACCCCAAACCTCACCTGTCGTGCCCCACCGGAAGCTGCAGTGCTGCAGACTCTCCAAAATGCTGGTGCACAGCTCTGGGCCAGCCAAAATGGCACAGCCCTGGGCTGTCCCAAAGACCTGGGTGGGACAGAAAACATTCTGGTTTTAGGGCAAAGCTGATGGGAGGTGCCAGTTCCCTCCTGCCCACTCCCACCCAGAGCTGCACCAGCCCGGCTGCACACGTGGCACTGCAGCGCACGTGGCACTCAGGGACACCCCGAGTCAACGTTCCCCCCTGGATATGGCCACAAAGCCCCAAACAATGGAATTCAGGCCAGGGGAGAGCCCCCCCACGCACAACAGCCAGGACTGAGCCCAGAACTGCTCCTGCCCAACGTGGGAACCGAGCAAAACACAACCTGTGCCCCCCTCCCCCTCTCGCTGCGTCACAGTTTGAGACGATGGGAACTTGATCCCACAGTTTGGAAAAGCTCCGCACTAACCTCCCAAGGGACCTGGAGCTTGCCGGGCCTCAGAGTAATTCTAGAGCTAAAGCGGTGAGAGACATCAGCTCAGCTCAGCTAATACATGCCAGCACTCATCCCCGGCCCAGGCGGTGCCTCCTCCGGCCCGGCCCCGCCCAGCCCACACACCCTGTCCCCAAAGCAGGACGCTCCCGCCTTCAGCCGGGACCCCGGAGCACAGCCCGGGGCTGGAGCCATCGCCGCTGCGGGCAAGAGAAACCCGCCCGCAGCTGCTTCCCGGAGCCGGCAGGGCTGTTCCCGCAGGAGCCGCTCGGCTGGGCCGGCATCGGGCTCAGGATCCTCCCGCGGCCGCCTCGCCCGGCCCGGACGCTCCGTCCTGGGCCCGCCGGGCTCGGGGCAGCGGCTCCGGCCCCGCGGCCTTGGGGCGGCACCTTCGACACCCCCAGCCCGTGGGGCAGCTCCAGGGCGGGGGGGTTTCGTGCCCGCGGCATCCGCCGCCTGCGGGGAACGAGCCGCCCAGCAGCCCCCCCCGGGACCCCCAAACCCGCCGGCACCTCTGCACCCCCGCCCCGTCCCGCACCACGCGGCCGCTCCTACCCTCGGTTCCGCTGGAAGTGACGCCCGAGCGCGGGCGGGGCAGGAGGAGCTGCCGGCGGGATCCTCCCCCGTCTGGCTGCGTGCTCATCCACCGCTCTGCAATCCGTCCAGTCCCCATCCCATCCTCCCCCGTCCGCCTCCATCCCCATCCAGTCCGCCCAACCCCCATCCCATCCTCCCCCGTCCGCATCCATCCCCATCCAGTCCGCCCAACCCCCATCCCATCCTCCCCCGTCCGCATCCATCCCCATCCACACGCCTCCATTTTCCTTCATCCGCCTTAATCCCCATCCGTCCCAAATCCCATCCACCTCCATCCCCATCTGCCCGCCACCATCCGCCTCCTTCCACCTCCCTCCGTATCCATCCCCATCTCATCCACCTCCATCCGCATCCATCCGCATCCTATCCGCCCAATCCCCATCCCACCCACCTCCATCCACCTCCATCCCCATCCCATCTACCTCCATCCCCAATCCCATCTGCCTCCATCCCCATCCCATCTGCCTCCATCCCCATCCCACCCACCTCCATCTGCCTCCATCCCCAGCCCACCCATCCCCTGTCCACTCCCACCTGCCAGCCCCACCCGGGGCCCATCCCACGCTGGGACCCGCACACTGCACCGGATCCCACCGGAGCGTGCAAGGAGTGTGGGAACAGCCGCCCCTGTCCCACCCGCACGACAGCTTTTATTGGGATGCAGCAGTGACTCCCAAACAGCCCTTTTCCAGGGAAACCCGCTGTGCTGGCCAGGCCCCATCTCCAGCCTGTGTTGGGGTCATCCCAGCTCAGCCCACGCTGAGATGCCCAAACCGAGCCCCTTTCCTGCAGGCTTTTCCCATGGGATCAGTTAATCCACGTTCCCATTGCCCCATCCCGCTCCTTTGGCCCCCGGACACGCGGCCCCTGTCAGGCACCATCATTGCCGCTTGCCTGTAACAAGGAAATCCAGCTCAAGGCACAAGAAACGGATTCACTTTTGTTTTCCTCTCAAATTGGCTGATGAAAGGCCCCAAACCCACAGTGCTTCCTATGGATCTGGGGAACTGGGGCCCTGCGTTCCCTGTGCCAGAGCCAGCTGGGCCCTTCCTCAGGAGGCAAAGCCAGTTTTTTAGGTTCCCTGAGACTGATCCATTTGCTCAAGCTCCAGGAGTAAACACTGGGAGCCGATCAGTGCCGTTACACACATGGAAACCCCCCAAATCCGACCCCTGGGATGTGTTGGATTTTTTGCCTTCACGGGAACAAATCAACAAGAAGTCAGAAATAAATAAAAAAATCCAAATTTTGTTCACTTTTTGATCACGAAGGTTTGCCAGGGAAGGTTTTTTCTTCCTCTGCTGCCAAAAGGAGAGTGGGCAAGGGAGACACCGATCCTTGTGGGATTCAGGGATGTTTGAGACGGTCAGCTGGGGGGATGGGTGAAGGGACGGATGGGGTCCTAGAGCCTGTGCTGGATCAGGCACAAGAAGAGGAGTTTGGAGGAAAAGGGATTTTCCCAGATGTTTCTAACGGAGAAATGCAGCAAAATCTCCTTCCCTGGAAGGCAGGACTCGGAGCCGCCACGTCCCTCAGGCCCTGTACCTGCCCAGGTGCTCGCGGGCGATGATCACCCGCTGGATCTGCGCCGTGCCCTCGTAGATCTGCAGGGAGAGCCATGGCTGGGGGAGCCGAGTGCTGGGAAGGGGGCTCAACCAGAGCTCTGCCCACCCGGGACCCTCCCAGCGCCGAGCCCGGGGGCAGGGAGAGAGAAAAGGAGGAAAAATGAGTGTGACCATGACCCACAACAGGCAATAACCGCGTACAGGTAGTGTGTGCCCAGTGCAGGAGGGATCCAGGGATCCCAGGTACACAAACACCTGTGTGTGCAGCGCAGGAGGGATCCAGGGATCCCCCAGGCACAGCCTGTGGCCGCTCCAGGGCAGCAGAATTTGGGGGTTTCAGTGTTTCAGCTCCCAGTTCTACTAGAAGTAGGATTGGCAAATTGCTCCCACTCCTGCAAATCCCCTTTCTCTGCAGTCTCAAAATCAAGATAATCTTCCCCAAACCACACGAACCTTTTCCAGGTGAATCTGCCTGAATTGTACGGCCCAGTGCCTTTCCTGAGTTCTTGCACGGATGGAGGGAGCAGGGAACACACCCCAAAATTCATACTAAATCAGAGTAATTGGAACAATTTCAAGGTCCCAGCTTCCCTGGCTCTGCATTGAGGATTGATCTGTGTGATGGAGAATTGGATAACTGGGATCCTGGGGAACAAAAATCCCAGAAGAGGAAAAGAGCCTGATCTTGACAAAGGCCTGCGTCTCATTCAGTTCCTCCCTGGCAGGACTGAAATCAGGACTGATAATTTTTAGATTGCAAACAGCTGCTTTCTGTCCTTGGGGAGGGAAAAATTCCTAGCTGGTGAGAACAGTTGGAATTTTAAAGTCAGCTGTAAAAGGAATGTCAACTACCCAGAATCAACAGTAACAACAGCAGCTGTGACCCCTGTTCCCTGAGACCTGTTTGGATCTCTTCCATCCAGTCATGGGTAATGTCAGAAAGAGGGGAAAGGTGAAGATCCCTGGGTTTGCTAAATGGAATTTAATCTTTCCTGCTGAATAACGAACTGGAGTCAAGAGAGAAATTCTGGCCTGGAATAATTTCTTGGCAATAATACTGCAGAAAAACCGCTGGGGATTAAGGGTGTCCGTGGGCCAAAAATGAGGAAATATGACCGTGTTTGTTCTTTTGGAAAAAAACCCAATAAATAAATACCTAAAGAAGTGAATCACCACAGGCTGAGCCCCACAGCTGTTCCTGCAGCCCACACAGGGTAATTAATGCTGATTAATTAATCTGTGTTCCTTAGTGCTTGTGAGAGCTCAGCTGAAGCACCTGCCCGGTGTGTGAGTATTTGAGGATCTCAAATTTAAGGCCTTTCTGCCAATGGAAGGATTGTTGCTCTCAGCCTCCAAATCTTTTCATCCCGTGTCCATCCTGATTGCAATTACTCAGCTGTTAATTATTCTCTATAGAACACCTGTGTCGCTGTGGAGGCCCCACGCTCTGTCCCACTCACCTGGTAGATTTTGGCATCCCTCATGAGCTTCTCCACGGGATATTCTGTGTTGAACCCATTCCCCCCAAAGATCTGCACGGCATCGGTGGCCACCTGGTTGGCGACGTCCCCGGCAAAGGCCTTGGCGATGGAGGCGTAGAAGGTGTTGCGGCGGCCGGCGTCCACCTCCCAGGCCGCGCGCTGGTACGCCAGCCGGGCCAGCTCCACCTTCATGGCCATCTCTGCCAGCAGGAACGCCACGGCCTGGTGCTGGGAGCGGGGAGACCCACCGGGTGAGCTTCAAAGGGCAGGGACTCTTCTTCAGGGACTCAAGGAGTCATGGAATCGTTGAGGCTGGACGAGAGTGTCAAGATCACCGAGCCCAAACCTCGTCCTCACCACTAAACTGTGTCCCCAAGTGCTGCATCCACATGGTGAAACCCTCCAGGGACGGGGAGTCCCCCATAGCCCTGTGCCAGGGCTGGAGAAATCTTTCTGGGAATAAATTTTTTCCCCATAATCTGATTTTATATCTTCATTTCCTAATTTGCAAATTCAATACGCTTGGGAAGTTGTGCTTGAGGAGTTCTACAGAACTGGGATCCATCCCTCAACTCCATGTTGAATTAGACTTTGCCATTTTTGATGCCCAATCCCTCGGACCCACCTCTACGATGGTTTCCCGAAGGTTTTCCTCTCCAGCGTGTACCTTGTGGCCTCGTCGAGCGCTCGTTTCGCCAGCCCCACGGCCCCCGCTGCCACCTGGGGCAGGCACAGTGCAGGATGAGCGGCAGAAATCCCCAGCTTAGGTTAGAAACAGCCCATTTCTGGCACTCACGGGGGGCCTGGTCTTGTCAAAGGCGCCCATGGCGATCTTGAAGCCAGCGCCCTCCGCGATCAGCATGTTCTCCTTGGGGACTTGGACGTCCTCGAAGACGATCCCGCGCATGTCCGAGCAGCGCTGGCCCGTGTTCAGCTCCTGGAAAAGGGAATTTACAGAGGTGCCACTAAATCAGATTCTTCTGAGATTTAGTTTACTCAAAGAAGCTTTCTTTTCCCCCCAAACCACTTCAATTTTAGCTAAAACCAATCATAGAGACAAGAAATACCAACTTTGCCTTCCCAGCCCAGCAAGGCCCTGACCTGTCCCACTGTGTGGGATATCAATCCTGGGGCTAGAATCTCTTCTTTGGCTTTTTCTGGTTCAGTTTATCCTTTGGAGGATTCAGTTACATGTGTAATTCAATTCTACACTCTGACATGGGAGAGGAAACAGCCAAGAAGGCAAGTGAAGGCAGCTGTGAGACCCAGCTGTGCTGCCAACAGACAAATTCCTAAATAAATGAGGTTTTCAAGTTCCAAATGTTCAATCTCTAGTTTTGCTGCTACTAAAAATGGCAGTTTCTTTGTTTTGTTTTTGTTTCCCCCCCCAAAGAGAACTCCACAGCGCCTTCCTAGGGCAGGAGCAGGCGAAATTCCAGCGAACCGTGAAGTTCTGGGGGAAGTTCTCCACCTGGCTGCTGACACCTTCACCCCCCTGAACATTAATCAGCTCTTGCCAATTCACCTTCCTGCCGATCTGGATGCCGGGGCTGTTGGCCTCCACGATAAACCCTGTGAAGGCTTTGCTGGCTGGGGCTCGGGGGTCGGGGTCAGTGCAGGTGAGCAGGAAATACCTGTGGGGGAACAGAGACGGGGGCTCGGCTCATCCTCAGCAAGCAGACACTGCTGGGCAGAAGTGTCCCCAGTTTTTATCTGTGTACCATACAGGAAACCTTTTTAATGAGCCCTTCCAAAAAAACGCCAACGAGGAGGGAGCAGTGTGAGAAATGTCAGTGTTCTCAGGGCCTCTCTTCCTGCAAAAATCAAGACTTAATGAAATTCCCTCAGATCTACCTGCAAAGCTTCTCTGCCTTCTCCATGAGTTGT